AATGAAACACATCTTAAAGGTTTTTTAACTATATATGAGAATCATTTGAGAATGACAGGTGTATGTTTTATTAACTACTATTTAATTAGTGAGATGACTACCTTCTAGTTCTTGCATTATCATAGGCTTTTTTTTTTAACTGGCTGCAGCTGTGGGTTGGTTGCTGCTTTTTTTTTTAATTTATGTATTTTTGGCTGCATTGGGTCTTTGTTGCTGCGCGCAGGCTTTCTCTAGTTGTGGCGAGCGGGGGCTACTCTTCATTGTGGTGCGTGGGCGGGCTTCTCATTGCAGTGGCCTCTGTTGTTGCAGAGCATGGGCTCTAGGTGCGCGGGCTTCAGCAGTTGCAGCATGCAGGCTCAGTAGGTGTGGCTCGCGGACTCTAGAGTGCAGGCTCAGCCGTTGTGGCCCATGGGCTTAGTTGCTTCACGGCATGTGGGATCCTCCCGGACCAGGGCTCGAACCCGTGTCCCCTGCACTGGCAGGCGGATTCTTAACCACTGTGCCACCAGGGAAGCCCTATCATAGACTATTGAATCACTGTTGTCCTAAATTTTTCAGTTTGCAAGCATGTATGGGTATCTTTTATTTCTTTGTTCCAGGGGTGTTCTAAGAATGATGTCAGTTACATGTATAAGATAGTGATCTTTGGTGACAGGAATCTTAAGAGAACATTTAACTTACTGCCAGTTTCAGGGAAGGAGAGCCCACAGCTTCTTTTAATAGTACGTCATTTTATTAATGACTTTTGCTGAAAGAAAACTGTTTCTTCATGGAAATCCTAAAAAAAATTCTTCTGGGGCTTCCCTGGTGGCGCAGTGGTTGAGAGTCCGCCTGCTGATGCAGGGGACGCGGGTTCGTGCCCCGGTCTGGGAGGATCCTGCGTGCCGCAGAGCGGCTGGGCCCGTGGGCCGTGGCCACTGGGCCTGCGCGTCCGGAGGCTGTGCTCCACGACAGGAGAGGCCACAACGGTGAGAGGCCCGCGTACCGAAAAAAAAAAAAAAAAAATTCTTCTGGGCTAAATTATTTCAGAATACCCTCATAAAAAACTAACTGAATAGATATTAGCTGAAAGAGTTTGAGCTTAATTTTCATACTGGAGAATAATCTAATGGTTTGGAATAGAGAGTTTGATTTTATAGTCCAGCTTATTTGCATTTCAGGAGGCAGTATGATGTAAATAAAGTTCGATCTGGGCTTAAGTTCCAGCTCTGCCACTTAATAACTTGTATCTTTGGGCATGTTGTTAATTTTTCCAAGTTACAGTGCCTTTTTCATAAGGTTATTGAAGGCTTACAAGATATCCATTTAAGAAGTACCTAACTCAGTCCTAGATACCTTGAAGGAACTGAACAAATATTGGTGTCATCCATCTTTTCCTGTGTTTACATGTGGACAAATGGGAATGTCAGTGAGAAATAAGAGGGGAATCACTTCCCTATGCTCCGGAAATATATTTTTCTGGCACTAATGGGAATGATATATCTCTTCTAATACTTGTTTTAGTCATAGTTAATGGCTTGTGATAAGGTATGATGTTTGTTGCCTCTCTCCTTTTTTATAACTTGGATCTTTTTTTAAAAAAAAAAAGCTTACACAAGGATGCTTATAAGAGATATGTATGTGTTTGAATATATATAAATGTCACAAAATAGTCTTAAAATTTGAAGAGAATAACCATGAAGGCCATATAGTCCTTTTCGTTTCTTGGGGCAGAATTCCCCTTGATTCTAGATAGGTATTAGTGCTCTATGTGAATAGCTTTAGTGATTGTGCTCTTATTCCCTCTTAAGACAGTCATTCTGTATTATTCAATGAATAATTGAGGTTCAGATTTCTAAGGCCCTTTTGTATTTTTTTCATATATAAACTTTTAAAATTTAGTCTACATTTTTTATTACTCCTGGTCAAAAATTATCTTTTTCAACTGTATTGACAAAATTAAACCAGGAATATTGATTTATGTTTATGTCTGATATCACTTATCATATAATCTAGAAATTAATATTTCTTCCAAGGATAGAACTTTAAAATTCAACATCATTTACATCTCTTTCATTCAGTTTTTCTTGCAATATACTCTATTTCTGAAGATTGAAAACATATTAACATAGTGTCTTATTTCTTACACTTTCCTTTGCAGTGTCTTTTGTACTCATTACAGGTGATTACATTTTCTGTGATATTAATAGAGTAAATGCTCTACTTCATTGGCTAATCAGACGGGACAAAAATAAGCAACATCCTTCTATATACTATTTAAGAAAAAGATGTAAACATAATAATAAGGAAAAGTTAAAAATAAAAGTACAAATATATATCATCCAAGCACTGACTAAAGGAAAGCTATTGTAGCTATATTAATGGTAAACCAAAAAAGTGTTAAGGGAAAAAGCATTAATAGAAATAAATGGAGTTACTTCATAACAGTAAAAGGGCTCAATTCACCTAGAAGTTATAATAATTCTAAATATATATTCATATTTTCAGTGATTTTTAAACTTGCTCTATTATTTATTGCTTACATTTTTTTGTTTTTGTTTTTGTTTTTTGTCTTTTTTTTTTGCGGTACGCGGGCCTCTCACTGTTGTGGCCTCTCCCGTTGCGGAGCACAAGCTCTGGACGCGCAGGCTCAGCGGCTATGGCTCACAGGCCCAGCCGCTCCGCGGCATGTGGGATCTTCCCGGATCGGGGCACGAACCTGTGTCCCCTGCATCGGCAGGCGGACTCTCAACCACTGCACCACCAGGGAAGCCCCTATTGCTTACATTTTTTAACTGAATGCTCTCTTCCTAATTTCATGCCATCACCAAATTTTTAAAATTATTTTTCTTGATAATCTTTTTTTCTTTAACATCTTTATTGGAGTATAATTGCTTTACAATGGTGTGTTAGTTTCTGCTTTATAACAAAGTGAATCAGTTATTCATATCCATATGTTCCCATACTCTTCCTTCTTGCGTCTCCCTCCCTCCCACCCTCCCTATCCCCCCCCTCCAGGCAGTCACAAAGCACCAAGCTGATCTCCCTGTGCTATGCAGCTGCTTCCCACTAGCTATCTACCTTACCTTACATTTTGTAGTGTATATATGTCCATGCCTCTCTCTCGCTTTGTCACAGCTTACCCTTCCCCCTCCGCATATCCTCAAGTCCATTCTCTAGTAGGTCTGTGTCTTTATTCTTGTCTTACCCCTAGGTTCTTCATGACATTTTTTTTCTTAGATTCCATATATATGTGTTAGCATACGGTATTTGTCTTTCTCTTTCTGACTTACTTCACTCTGTATGACAGACTCTAGGTCTATCCACCTCATTACAAATAGCTCAATTTCGTTTCTTTTTATGGCTGAGTAATATTCCATTGTATATATGTGCCACATCTTCTTTATCCATTCATCCGATGATGGACACTTAGATTGTTTCCATCTCCGGGCTATTGTAAATAGAGCTGCAATGAACATTTTGGTACATGACTCTTTTTGAATTATGGTTTTCTCAGGGTATATGCCCAGTAGTGGGATTGCTGGGTCATATGGTAGTTCTATTTGTAGTTTTTTAAGGAACCTCCATACTGTTCTCCATAGTGGCTGTACCAATTCACATTCCCACCAGCAGTGCAAGAGTGTTCGCTTTTCTCCACACCCTCTCCAGCATTTATTGTTTCTAGATTTTTTGATGATGGCCATTCTGACTGGTGTGAGATGATATCTCATTGTGGTTTGATTTGCATTTCTCTAATGATTAACGATGTTAAGCATTCTTTCATGTGTTTGTTAGCAGTCTATATATCTTCTTTGGAGAAATGTCTATTTAGGTCTTCTGCCCATTTTTGGATTGGGTTGTTTGTTTTTTTGTTATTGAGCTGCATGAGCTGCTTATAAATTTTGGAGATTAATCCTTTGTCAGTTGCTTCATTTGCACATATTTTCTCCCATTCTGAGGGTTGTCTTTTGGTATTTTATGGTTTCCTTTGCTGTGCAAAAGCTTTTAAGTTTCATTAGGTCCCATTTGTTTATTTTTGTTTTTATTTCCATTTCTCTAGGAGGTGGGTCAAAAAGGATCTTGCTGTGATTTATGTCATAGAGTGTTCTGCCTATGTTCTCCTCGAAGAGTTTGATAGTTTCTGGCCTTACATTTAGGTCTTTAATCCATTTTGAGCTTATTTTTGTGTATGGTGTTAGGGAGTGATCTAATCTTTGATAATCTTTGTTCAGCTGATTTCTTACATAAAGTGAATGACCACCTTATTAATACTGCTTACTGGTTCCTTTTACCATCAGTTCTCTTTATTTCTGTTCCTGTTTGACTACAGAACAAGGGTATTAGCTAGTAGTTGAGAAAGGTATTTGATACTAAATTATATAAAATTACCATATGTAAGAACATCCTTACATAGTTTACAAAGCTATCTCTTTAGAATTCTATTTCTTATGCCCTTGAGTTGATCTCTCAGAAGTAAAGAACAGGCTGCCCATAGAAGGAGGAGGAGCAATGTGTTTTGATTCCAACTACCCTGTCTTTCATTTTTACTTCTTGTGGCTTGTTTCTGCATTTTGGTATACAAGTAATAATTCTACATCACTTCCTTCGTAAGTCATAGGTATGTGTTAAAATGCTTAGATTTACATAGTTTTCCCAAATACTTATTTTTCAGAGTGCAGGTATAATCTTTTAGGAGTCTACATAACAATGTGTAAGCTATTACCTAAAACACATCTTATTGCATATCTTGACACAGTATCCATTCCTATTTATTCATTGATTCAGGAAACATCTACTGTGTTTCTAGTCTTTGATAAGCAGTATTAGTGATACTATAATAAAACTGTATTAGTTTCATTGAACAGAATAGTAAATTCTCACTTACCCTTTTGTTCCTTTCCTAAGAAATCCAGCATTTAATTCAATTCCTTACATTGGGGGAGGGGGAGAACAATTACCACAGAAACATGGGTGTCATTTTAATTATAAAATAAATTAATGGAAATCTTTAAATTTTTCAGGATGAGAGAGAACCAGAGAAAGAAGATGAACTGGAACTGAAAAGAAGTCTTCTATATAGAGACTCTGCCTATGACAGTGACCCAGAGTTTAGGTATGAGCTTGATTAATACAGTGTATAGAGATCTTCTCATAGTTAGTATAAAAATAACCTGTTTTGTAATCTGCAGGATTTGTGGCAAATTTAGACTCAATATTTATTTATTTATATTTTATTTTAACTATATAAAATCCTATTATAGTATTTTAATGTTTGCCTTACTGAAAATTTTCAGTGAAAACAAATATAGTCAGTTAATGGTGGTGCCTTTCATCCTACTTAAGATTTCTAGTATATTTGGCTGCCTTGCAAATCCACATATTCAGGACTTACTTCAGGATGTATTTATTCTCATCCTGAATAAATGAGGAAACAACAGGTTTCAAAATTTAGATCATGAGGGCTTCCCTGGTGGCGCAGTGGTTGAGAGTCCGCCTGCCGATGCAGGGGACATGGGTTTGTGCCCCGGTCCGGGAAGATCCCACATGCCGCGGAGCAGCTGGGCCCGTGAGCCATGGCCGCTGAGCCTGTGCGTCCGGAGCCTGTGCTCCGCAACGGGAGAAGCCACAACAGTGAGAGGCCCGCGTACCGCAAAAAAAAAAAAAATTTAGATCATGAGTAAGCCTTTTTTATTTTTATTTTTTTATTTTTCTCTTATGTTAATAAGAGAAATTCAGTTCTTCTAGCCTAAAATTTCAGAAAAGTTAGTAATAATACAGTTTTTGCAAAATTATCCTAGCAAATCTCATGAAGACTTTTGAAAACTTTGTGTTAATTGCCATTAAGTGTGGTATTAAAAGCTGAATGTAAATTGTGAGTTTATATAACTAAAGTTTCTCTGAGGCCTTTGATGCTATGCCAGAGATTACTATATGGCTTCCACCTTCCTGAGTTTCCTGAAAAACAAGTGTAAGAAAAAAGCTCCAGGTACTGGCATATGTTTTATTGCTAACTGGTGTTTTGGACTGAAATCTCTGATCTTTGCCCTGGTAAGCTAGGCTAGGCATTCCATAAACATGTGAGGACTTTTCCTTTTGTCCGTTACACAGAGTATAAGTCTGAACTCCTGTCCGAAGTTACTGCTTCCCATCCTTGAGGAAACCTGGGTCTCTCATGAAGGAAAGTAGTATATTTTAAATGAGTTTGAAGAAAAAGCAATCCAAATGGGAAAAGGAAGGGCCAAGAAAGTGCATACCTTGATGAAGAATTTGTACCCTTTATTGTTGTTACTTAAACTTCTAATTCTTAGATTTCCGTTATATGGATTAGCATCCCAATTTTGGGTTCTGTATCCACGTAATTAATTCTAATTGGGGTAAGAAGTGAGTAGGGTTGATAAAGCAAAGGGTCTGATTTTCAAACTTTTGTATGTATAATATGCTTCTTAAAAATATAGATTTCTACTTTCTACCTCCATAGATTCTGGTTCCTAACATACAGAGGTGTGACCTAGAAATCTGCATTTTAAAAAATATCATGAATGATTCTAGTGAAGGTAATATAAGGACCATATTTTGAAAAACACTGGTTTCTATTTAAAGTTTGCCATAAACCTTGGTATTGGTTCTTTTTCCAATTCAGCAAGCAATGTTAATGGCTAAGGTTTTGGTCACCTGAGACTGTTTTAGTACCTCTCAAGTGAGAGAGTTAAGCAGAGCATCAGGAAAGTTCTGCTTACACATTTCTGAGATTACTTTATATTCCTTGCTGCTTCTCTTGGACCAGTAGGACATACTTGGACCAATATAGGACACAGTGGTCAGTGCTTCAAGACATTTTATAAGAGTATCTTTTTTTTTTTTTTTTTTTTTTTTTTGCGTTACGCGGGCCTCTCACTGTTGTGGCCTCTCCTGTTGCGGAGCACAGGCTCCGGACGCGCAGGCTCAGTGGCCATGGCTCACGGGCCCAGCTGCTCCGCGGCATGTGGGATCTTCCCAGACCGGGGCACGAACCGGTGTCCCCTGCATCGGCAGGCGGACTCTCAACCACTGCACCACCAGGGAAGCCCTATAAGAGTATCTTTGATATTAGCTCCAGAAGCTACTGAACTGATCAGGGTATTATTTTAGTTTTATCCCCAAGTCATATTATATAGTAGGCCAAGAAGTCACCCCATTCTACTTTCCATCTCAAAGATGAGAGAACCCGCACTCAAAGTAGTCACCCACTTGCTTGCCTTAAGGCTTCTATCAGCAGAAATCAAGAGGGAACTTGAGATCTTGGCTAAAAATTACCCCTCTGCAGACATCCATTGACACAGGGGTCAAGAGGAAGTCTGCATGGACCTCTGGAATGGCTGAGTGAGGAGCTCAGAAAATCCTCTCCTCTGAAAGCAACAAAATTGAACAGAATTGTCAAAAACAACAATTTAAGGACTCTGGAAATTGACCAAAGGAATATAACAAATTGAGAAGCTGTTTATCAAGAAAATCTACTGAAGCTCAATGAGAGCAGTAGGAATCTGTGGCATTTTGCCTGGAGCTCCAGTCCCCACCCCCCACCCCCCAACTCCTCAGCACAAAAGTTCTACTGGGGCAGTCATGCCAAAAGACAGGCAGCTCTGCTGCCAGAGGGGACTGACTTTATATGGCACATAGCATAGGAAATTTCATGTGTGGGGGGATTAATGGAGACAATAATGATCCCACTGGCAAACAATAAGGGAGGGCTTGAGGTCTTACTGCTTACTGGGGCAGACAACAAAAATCCAAGAACAAGATAGCCACAGTTGTCCTTGATAAAGTTCTGTGTATCCCTGGTAGTCTAGAACATTATGTGTATGTATAAAGCTGTAAACATGTTCAGGAGAGACCAGAGAGCGTGTTAGGGAGCCACTACTCCATGGCTGAGTGTGAGGCCTTATGAAGGCAGAAAGCAAGTTCCAGGGCAGATTTATCAACCAGATAAACTTTGAATGTATTCCCTAAGCCACACATAGGTCCACTGGCAAAAGATGGAAACGTTATAGGATTATTGACTGTGACCAATCATTTCTTGGTCATCAAGCTATGTTGACGCAGGGGCAACCCCTAGGAGGCCAGGCTTAAAAATAGAAACAATAATTGAAAAAAAAAAAAATGAAGAGACACCAGCAACTACACAGTGCAAGGGAAACAGACTTCACAGCATAGGTCCAGGCAAGTCACTAAACAAAGAATCCAAATTTGCATGCAATTTTTTTCCCGAAGCTTTCAAAATTTTATAGAAAAGCCACTTTTTTTTTTTTTTTTTTTCAGGTGCATAGGGAAAAGGTTTTTTTATGACAGATTTCAAAATTTTTTTTTTTTTTTTTTTTTTTTAATTTTTAAACCATCAACATTTTATTTAAAAAATTTAGTGCTTTCTAAAGTGTAGTTCCTAGACCAGCAGCATCAGCATGACCCTGGTACTTGTTAGAAATCCAAATTCTTGGACCCCATCTCAGACATCCTCAATTAGTAACTCTGGGGGTGAGGCTCGGTAATGTGAGTTGTAATAAGCCCTCCAGATGACTCTCATGTGTGTTAAAGTTTGAGAATTACTGCTATAATTTCTCAGTAAATTTTGATGTCTTTAATGACATTTTATCTTTGTGTGGTATATTTAAAGATACAAAATGCTTTACAGATTTTATTAGACCATAGTTTAGTCTCTCCCTATCATCTATTCTGAACTCCAAGATTTTAAGTATTTTCCTTCCTACATTCCATACATCCATCCATCCGTCAGTCTATCCATCATCCATCCATTCAATGTCTATAGAGCATACATCACATCCTCAGTACTATTCTACATGTTTTGTCAAAGTTTTGCTTGATAGGAACCTTTATAGAGTATTATGGGAAGGAATTCATCTCTCATATTATGTCTTTATATTGAATCTTAGATCACAAGTTTAAAGTATAGAATATGCATCATCATCTTTTAATGTCACTTTCAACTCTGGTTATTTGAGTACAAATGGCAAATGGCCAATTTTTTTACTCTCATGACCTTCCAGTTATTTATTAGAATTAATATTATTTGCATGGCATATCCATCTTACCCTCTGACTTTCGTTTTCATGTACATCACCTTATAGATATTTTATCTGAAAACTTTGTGTAAAGTAGTATGTACTTGGTCTTCATTTCATACTGATATAGAAAACACTGTCAGGGTTTCAAGTGAGTTTACCCTTCTGTAAGCAAAATACTAGTATCCTAGTCCATGTTAAGCTGCCTGAGACCTTTCTCTTCTCTGTATATATGCTAGGCCTTAAAAAATAAATTTATAATTTATACCTTAGCAACATTTAAGATTTGAAAGTGCTCGGTTCTCAGATATTATCCTGGTCTCTGTTCTTTTTTGTCTTTTTTTTTTCTTAATAGCTTTGTCATTTTTTTTTTTTTTTTTTTTTGCGGTACGCGGGCCTCTCACTGTTGTGGCCTCTCTCATTGCGGAGCACAGGCTCCGGACGCGCAGGCTCAGTGGCCATGGCTCACGGGCCCAGCCGCTCCGCGGCACGTGGGATCTTCCCAGACTGGGGCACGACCTCGTGTCCCCTGCATCGGCAGGCGGACTCCCAACCACTGCGCCACCAGGGAAGCCCAGATTTGTCATTATTAAATAGAGGGCTCCCTATTCAAGTAGCAAGAGTATATTGCCAAAAAATGTACTGCATTTAATAAAATAGCAATTTTATCCCTGCTTTAAAGATAACCATTTTATGTTATATAGCACTAATTCAGTGTTTTGTAGAGTAGGAACTTTGAATGCTTTGAATGAATGAATGCTGGAGATACTCATGGTAAAATACAGAAGTGTAGTCTTTAAAAGCCTATTACTATAATAAGACTTTTTAAGTGTTGCTTACACATTGTAAACTTATTAATATTCCCAATAATGGAAAATCAGAACTGACTCAATATGTTCACAGTTTGTTAGTTAGATAGCCAAATACTTCCATGTCTAAAAGTAAATGTTGCTTTTAAGATTCTGCTGCTCTTTGTTTGCACCTGTCCATGCGTATTAGAACCTGTTCTGCAAACACCTCTGTTTTGCAAACACCTCTGTTTTGCAATTCAGACTTCTAGGATGAGCCAATTCCCAAATTCTCTCCGGAGAATTACAGTACTGTTTACTAAATTGAAAATTTTGCAATTTTAAATAGAAATAAACTTCCTGTCAAGATTTGCAAGATTTTAAAAACATTAGGATGTCTGTTTTGGCCACTTTAGCTCTTTTTTACAGACCCTTATCAACTTCACAGTTGCTCCTAAAATGATTTCTGAATTTTATTTATTCATTTATTCATTCATATGATAATTTATGATAGAGATTAGGAATTTGATTTATAATCTCAGAAAAACCTACACAGTGATTTTTAAAGTTAGCAGCCCTACTATTACTTACCTTTCTGAGATTTGGGTAGTAGCTTAATAAAAATTCAAATTTCTGTTGACTAGGTTTATTGTGGTAGAACTATAGCCCGGCAAAATATACAGAGTTCAGAAAAGAACATTATCACCTGACCGTCAGTATGCAGTAAAGTTGATGACTGTGGACAACAGGGAGATTAGGGACAGATCTGTGTTTTGTGGAATATTAATTAGTGCATGACTTGACATAAAACAATAAAAGCAACAAATAAACCAAATACAGCTAAACAAACAAAACACAACATGGGGGACTCCTGAAGTAGTAGGAGGGAACAGAGGCAAATGTGGGGACTTAGGCTGGAAGATATACTTGCAGAGGTACAAGGTACATGCAGAAGTTCTGTTAATGTATTTGTGTGTGTGATTTCTCTATCACTTGACTCAAACTGTCCAAAAAACTGTCTCGAGTGACTGTTTCAGCAGG